GGTTTGGGTGGCTTTGCCGCCTCGGACGGCGTGGGGTGGGAGCAAAGTATCGGATGGCCCTCCACGGTCGGGAGTCGGGCCAGAGCTGCTCGGCGCGCCTCGCGAAGCTTTCGAGCTGATCCTGTATCCAAACCTCACAGCGTCTAAGCACCATTACAGCAAACCCTAAACCCCAAACTCTAAACCCTATAACTAAACCCTTAACCCTGAAGCTCAACCCTCTAAACTCTGGCCCCAGACCCTAAACCCATACTATCGCGCACCGCGGGCGCCCCCGGCTGAGCCTTGGAACCGTCTTCGAGGTAGACAGAGGTCGCCTTCGCAGCTCACAGGGGCTTGAGTCGACTCAAAGAGCCCCAACAACGGCATCGGTTCAGGGCTTAGGGTTTAGGGTGTAGGGTTCAGGGTTCAGGGTTCAGGGTTCAGGGTTCAGGGCTTAGGGTTTGGGGCTTAGGGTTTAGGGTTTAGGGTTTAGGGTTTAGGGGCAAGGGTCAAGGGTCCAGCAGTTTCAAGCTACAACGGCAAAAAAGAAAAGCCAAGCCTCGGTAATGTCTTGGGCAGGCTTAGGCGGCCGGTCCTGATCAGGTATCCACTCCACACAAAAATTTAGCCTGTAAGGCTTTAAGTGTAGGGCCTTGTAGGGTGCCGAATTCGGCACCAGCGGAACTATCGGCCGCTGCGGCGAAGCTTCTCACCCCACAGAGCATGCACCGCGGCCAAAGCAGCACTGGTAGAGCTCTTGCCGGTGCAGTCGCGTCATCGCAGCAGACGTGGCAGCAGATCGAGCATCACCCGAGTAGGAAGTGTGAAGGTGAGAAGCAGGAGGCAGAATCAAAGGGACTGCAGCAGCGGTAGCACTAGGCATGACAGAGGCACCGGCAGTGGGCATGGCTACAACAGCGGTATCGGAAGTGGGAGCAGGAGTAGAAGCAGCATCGGCAGTAAGAGCAGGAGCGGCGGCAGTCCTGGCAGGTTCTCAACAAGCACCGCTAGGTACAATGGCGCCCAATCCCGACCACAGACCCTTGTTGCTGCAGCTTTCCAAGAACGTGGCACTGATCTGGAACGCTGGTCGGGCAGCACATCCATCCAGCTTCTGGCTAGCCTGCACAACTTGGCTGCTGAAGCTGCGAAGTTCGATGCAAAGGAAGCCTTCAGTCGCCTTGGCCTTTGAGTGCAGCCCAGCACTAATCACATGTATCTCTGCCACACAAGAGTTCACGGTCCCTCAGCAGCTATCAACATCTTTTTTCAAAGTGACAGGCCAACTTAGGTAGGAATTCAGAAGGTTTGAGCAGAGGTGAGTACACTGCACCACCATGAAGAGAGGAGGCAGGGGGCCAAAGCCTTTTTGTCCGGACTGGAAACTTTACTTACTTCTTCTCATCGGCGGGCCCCCTGCCCCCTCCGTCTACTTCGACAAACAGCGAAAGCAGGAGGCGCAACCAGCCCCATCTTCGTAACCCTGCAAGCTGTCGCATCTCCAGGGCGTCCTTCGATCATGGCATGGTAGAGTCTAACTCGGGAGAGGGAGCGGAGGCAAAAGGTTTCGCCCGGTTGGTCCCCATTCCTGTTCCGGTTCCTGGGCCTCTGCCACCTGCGCCACCTGCGCCACCTGTGCCACCTGTGCCCTCTATGTGAGGCTTGGGCGGCAGCTCGAAGAATCCCGGGCCCCAGCGTCGGAGGACAAGCCGATCGCCATCAGGTGGCAGCTCCAGAATGCGGAGGTTCTGCCGAGTCTCCAGGTTCACGTCACCAGTATAGCTAGATTTCTGCGGCGGAGGTTTTGGCCGATAGTTGCTGAAAGACCCAGCTCGGAACTCAGCTGGAAGAAAGCTGCTTAACCGAGATTCGAAGCCTTTCCGCGGCAAACCTGGACAGTATCCGAGTTTGGACACGAGTTTGGCGAGTCTTCGCTCGCGTTCCGACTTCTCGCCCCAGCCTGCAGCGACGGTGACGTCGTGTAGGTTTGGCTGGCTGCGGCTCTGCATCTTCGGCACCTTTGGCACCTGGCGCCTAGCTGTTGACACGGGTGTAACATCTGGCTCATCTAGGAGGAAGTCCTCTTCCACAAACCGCCACCGCATGGGGCCCCCGACAAACTCCACCATGCACGAGGGCTCAGGGCGGCGATTGCAGATGGCCGACACTGCCCGGCTCACTGAGGGGATCCGGCTCGAGGCGAACTGCGTGGCCGGAGCCCTTGTGGGAGCCCTTGCGGGATTTCGGCGACTCATGCCAGGTGACTCGGCGCCTTGGGCGGAGAGGCCAGCCCGGTTCCCATTTATGCCACTACACAGGATTTGTGTAGAGCAGCCTTGAGCAAACTAAGCCTTCAACAGAACAGCTTCAGGTCACGTCTCCGGTTAGTAGGATGGGTCTGTTTCTGGACACAATGAGCAACAGGAGAGGCACCAGACTCCACTGCCCCTGCACTATCACTCAAGTTCTGGCTTGTCAAGCTCGAGGAGTATTGCTCTATTGGCTTATCGTGGCACGAAACCCCTAGGTACGCTGCACCCTTACGGCGGCGGGCGCGTCTATGGGGTGCAGTGGGTCCTTGCGCACCTACACCCAGCACCCGGTGCACCTGCACCCACTTAGCGGACATTTAGCGTTGCATTAGGGGCCGCTAAGCGGGTGCAGGTGCACCCGGTGCAGGGTGCCGGGCAGCCTGTTGCACCCGACAGACGCACCCGCTACGCCCCACAGATGCACCTGCTGCACAGATGCACCGGAAACACCCTGCGTGCTGACGTAATATAAACCATACCTTTCAGTACTCTTAAAGTTTGCTAGGTTTTGGCTACAGCGTAGTGCACTTGAAGTTTTCGCATCACGAAGACTAAGGGTATCGTATGACACTAGATAGGTGCCACATCTCCTGAGCTAGGCCCGCTTGTCAATCCACCTGTCAGCTTGTCAGCAACACAACACAGGTGCAAGCAACAGAGTGGTTCGTGGGAGCTTTGCAGTCAAGTCCTGAGCTGTCGAATCAAACGGAGAGGCTGACTTCTTCCGGTCAGAGTCCTGCAAGGGCTGGCCACTTGCCTGGCTCTTCTTCTGCCCGACATGGGGCCTTAACATCCCAAGGCACAAGTAAGGTTGCCTCCTTGAAGAAGCTCGTTTCCGAAGGATCGTCGTAGGAGAGCCTGACGCACCACCGTCACTGGCAAAGACGAGCACCGCACCAAGCAGACCTAACTCCATATGCACTCCAGTTAGACCAGGGCCGGCACACAATTCCCCGCACAACGTCATCTTGTTCTCGATAGAAGTCCCCGGACAAAGGTACCTGCCAGTTCCAGCACGCTTCCCCAGGGGTGACATCTACGAGGTAGTCCCGGACCTGAGCCCTTCGGGCGCACAGACCCGTCCAGGGGGGTGAAGCCGCCCTCACCTCTCCACACAAGTCTTAAAAACCTTTGAAGCATGGATTTTTGACCCAGACCACTTTGGGTACATAAGGACCCAAGGTTTTTCGGTGGGAAACGACCCATGTGCTGGCTCTTGAGCCACAGGCTCAGAAACGGCCTGAAAAAGCTGAGGCGCGGGCAGTCTTCCCCTTGAAAAAACATCCAAGGGAGGTGCAGCCGTGGGCTCAGAATGCCTCAGCCGCCCCAAAAACCGGATCCCGGACTTGACGCGTTTGGGCTCTACAGGATTCGGATGAGCTTGCCAGGTGCTTCTACTTCCTAGAAGTCTTCGCGAGGAGTTGAAGACTTCCCCTAATCCTTAAACCCTAAACCCTAGCCCTAAACCCTAAACCCTAAACCCTAGCCCTAAACCCTAAACCCTGAACAGGGCCCAGCCTGGCAAGCCTGGGATGCCCTGATCAGGATGCCTGAAACCTCTCCAGCGCCGAAACCCCCCAAACACCTCCAAACACCTAAACCCTAAACCCTAGCCCTAAACCCCAAACCCGAAACCCTAAACCCTAAACCTTAACGCCTAGACACTAAACCCTGAACCCTGAACCCTAAACCCTAAACCCTAACCTTCAAGGCCCAGGCGTGGGCGGTTTTGCCCATTCGCAGGCCACGGTCCCGCTCGACTGGAGGCTTGTTTTGTGACGAGCCGAAAGCGGGGTTTTTAGGGTTTAGGGTTTAGGGTTTAGGGTTATTGGCACCGGCATGATGGGATGGTGGGGCTGCCTGTCTTGCAGGGGATAGGATTAGGGGGACCCTTGGGGATATAGACCCTCTGAATAAGGTCCCTGAGGGTTGAGAAGGGTTCCCTTTAAGGGTCCCCCTGATTCTTGCCAGTACACGCCTGCACTCCTTTTGGATGCCCGATCGCCGAGCTTTCCTTCAGCAGCCACGCACACCTCCGAGGGTGCAGAACGCTTGTGGTCAGGCACCGGCGGCTTCACACCATGCAATAGCCCTAAACCCTAAACCCTAAACCCTAAACCTTAAACACTAAACCCTTCCTCCGATGCTGTAGGGCTACTGACCTGGCGAAATGCCCTGAAAGGCGAAGGCCAAAACTGCAAGCCATGTTACTTCGGCAGAACCATACTATAACTGACGAACCTGGGGCGCCACGCAAACAAAACGATGAACCTCCTATCTGCACCAGCACATTGGCCGGTTGCGGCAGGGTTTCCGTCCACAAGGCTTTGGACTGTGGTCTGGCAGAAACACATCATCTTCCCCTTCTCCCATGGTGCAGCGCGCACCAGCAGGCGCAGACCATCCATCTCAGATTCCCAGCAAGCTTTCGGCCAGGATTTTGCGCATCCCAAGTGGCCCTTTTTCAGGCGCGTGCTCGGGAGCACGAAGAGCATCCCGTTGCGAGTTCGTGTTCCTGACGGATCAAAGGAACCCCGAGAATGGGGGTACATACCCCTACTACTGTGGTCCCTGTTGGGGTATGTCACTAGGGTATAAACCCTAAACCCTGAACCCTAAACCCTGAACCCTAAACCCTAAACCCTAACCCAGAACACCCTTTAGCGGGGGTTCATGTGGTCTCCCCAAGGCTCTGACCTTCTGAGCTCATGGGGAGCCCAAGGCATCCTCCGAGCGGACCAGGTAGAAGCACCTCTCCAGGGTTTAGGGTTTAGGGTTTAGGGTATAGGGTTGAGGGTTTGGGGTTTAGGGGTTAGGTTTTAGGGCTTAGGGTTTAGAGTTTAGGTTTTAGGGCTTAGGGTTTAGAGTTTAGGGTTCAGGGTTCAGGGTTTAGGGTTTAGGGTTTAGGGTTTAGGGTTTAGGGTTTAGGGTTTAGGGTTTAGGGTTTAGGGTTAAACCCCAGCGGGTTCCTCAACCCTCTTTGATGGGTTTAGAGGGTGCAGGTTCAGGTTTTTTGGGCTTAGGGTTAGGGATTAGGAGGTTTGCTTTAGGGTTTAGTGTTTTTTTGAGTTTTGGGGGGGTTTAGGGCTGCAGGGCTAAACCCTATCCCCTAAACCCTGAACCCTAAACCCTAAACCCGAAACCCGAAACCCTAAACCCTAAACCATAAACCCAAAGCTCGCGAGGCTTGGACCCTGGCCTGAGCACGACGTCGCCCTCGTGCTGCGCGGCGGCGAGGCCGAAGACTTCGACAAGACCCTGAGGCTACTTGGAGGTTCATAAAGGGGTTTAGGGTTTAGGGTTAGGGTTTAGGGTTTAGGGTTTAGGGTTTAGGGTTTAGGGTTTAGGGTTTAGGGTTTAGGGTTTAGGGTTTAGGGTTTAGGGTTTAGGGTTTAGGGTTTAGGGTTTAGGGTTTAGGGTTTAGGGTTTAGGGTTTAGGGTTTAGGGTTTAGGGTTTAGGGTTTAGGGTTTAGGGTTTAGGGTTTAGGGTTTAGGTTAGGTTTAGGGTTTAGGGTTTAGGGTTTAGTTTAGGTTTAGGGGTTTAGGTTAGGGTTTAGTTTAGCGTTTAGGGTTTTAGGGTGTTTAGGGTTTAGGGTTTAGGGGGTTTAGGGTTTAGGGTTTAGGGTTTAGGGTTTAGGGTTTAGGGGTTTAGGGTTTAGTTTAGGTTTAGGGTTTAGGGTTTAGGGTTTAGGGTTAGGGTTTAGTGGGTTTAGGGTTTAGGGTTTAGGGTTTAGGGTTTAGGGTTTAGGGTTTAGGGTTTAGGGTTTAGGGTTTAGGGTTTAGGGTTTAGGGTTTAGGGTTTAGGGTTTAGGGTTTAGGGTTTAGGGTTTAGGGTTCAGCATCTCAAGTCCTAGCATCTACTAGTCAAGAAAATTCTCCAGAAAAATACCCACCTGCCCAAAGAATCCCACAACATTAAGAAAATATTTCACTTATGGAACGACCTTGCCAGTAAAAAATTGACCTTGCCCAATAAAAAAATGACCTTGCCCAGTAAAAAAATGACTTTGCCCAGTAAAAAAATGACTTTGCCCAGTAAAAAATGACCTTGCCCAGTAAAAAGATGACCTTGCCCAGTAAAAAAATGATCTTGCCCAGTAAAAAATTGACCTGGCCCAGTAAAAAATGACCTTGCCCAGTAAAACAATGACCTTGCCCAGTAAAAAACATGACCTTGCCCAGTAAAAAAAGGACCTTGCCCAGTAATGACCTTGCCCAGAAACAAATGACCTTGCCCAGCAAAAAAATGACCTTGCCCAGAAAAAAATGACCTTGCCCAGTAAAAAAATGACCTTGCCCAGTAAAAAGATGACCTTGCCCAGCAAAAAGATGACCTTGCCCAGTAACATTTTTACTGGGCAAGGTCATTTTTTTACTGGGCAAGGTCATTTTGTTACTGGGCAAGGTCGTTTTTTTGGACGAAACGACCTTGCCCAGTAAAAAAATGACCTTGCCCAGTAAAAAAATGACCTTGCCCGGAAAAAATGACCTTGTAGGGTTTAGGGTTTAGGGTTTAGGGTGTAGGGTTTAGGGTTTAGGGTTTAGGGTTTAGGGGTTAGTTTTTAGGGTTTAGGGTTTAGGGTTCAGGGTAGGGCGTGATAAAGCGTTTAGAGTTGCCAAAAGCTTTGAAAACGGTTCCGGGAGCCTAAAGGCTATTGATGGTCTTTGAAATTAAAGGATTGCAAGTTGCAAGGCTTCAGACTGTCAGGGTCTGTTTCGGCTAGGGGCTGAAAAGGGTAAAAGGGTTCAGTACAGGGTTCAAAAAGGGTAAACCCTAAACCCTAAACCCTAAACCCTAAACCCTAAACCCTAAACCCTAAACCCTAAACCCTAAACCCTATACGGGGGGCAACCGAAGGAGGACAGGGAACAAAACAGTCAACCCCAACAGAAGCCCTTGATTTCCTGGACCAACAAACAACAAACCAACCCAAAACACCAAGCACCCTTTGTTCACTAGGCGCATGGCCCGATCTTGAGCCAAAAAATAGTACCGGGTACATTGACCCTTTATCCTTCTACACCAACTCTTTTCTTCAATACAAACTGCAGCTCCGCACTCCCTGTCCTAGGATTTCCTAGGACACAAACTGGAGGTGCAGACTTTTGGCCAAAAACTGCCATTAAGGCAGCAGCCAGCTGCTTGGAATGCAAGTTGTGGTTTTACGTCATCCAGGACGAATTTATAGCACATTGGCTAAACACCCTTCACCATAGAGAATCTTTTTACCACCATGATTCTCTTGTCATTGAAGACTCTCAGCCTTCTTCACCACGAACCGTGGTCTTCGCTACGCAAAAAGCTGTACACTCTCTACTATCAGGGATTTCCATACCCTTAATAGTAACCACCACACTTCCAGCACATTGGCCGTTCCAGCGCACTTGTCTCCAGAAAGAGAAAAACCCATTCCCTCATCAATACCATCCAGTCATCCCTTCTTTTTCTTCCGATGGGCATCGATGCTCAGGTGAAGTCGCAGCAAAACATGTTCCAGGTCCGACACTGTAAGAACAGGATCTTGTATACCCCTCTGAATTGAGGATATCAACCCCTCTCTCTTCGCGTCCTCAATTGCTTGGCAGGATTGTCCCAGTTCGGCATTAACAGTGGTAGATGACTGCGCATCCACTTCAGAAGGACGGTCCTTCTCATCAGGTCCTTCCACCACGACCACCTCTTCCTTCTTGGGGCTTTGACTCTTCTCTTTCTTTTTCATCTTTCCCGAGACGCTTGCCTTGGTGCGCATTCTCGAAGAGGCCTTTTCCCCTCCTGATACCACCGCATTGGATGATGATCCACCCTTCTCCATGTTAACCGGCATCTTCTTCGGCTTTGGAACCAGAAGAGTGTATGGATCCTCAATTGCAGCAGTTTTCCTCTTCTTTTTGGCCATCTTCACCTCTTCCTCAACGGCAACATCCGTCTCCGAAGTTCCAACCACCTCCTTTTTGGCAGGATTATCCTTACTGGACTCCCTTTCTAGGGACCTCTTTTTGTCCCTTTTTGGATCTCTCTCTTCTTTCATATTGGCTCGCTGGAACCATATCCTCAACTCAATGACTTCACTATCTCGTGAAGTTCCAATGAAGACAGCATGCCAGTAGTCCATGTACACCATTCTGCGTCTCTTTGGTCAGCATCTCCATTGAACTTTAACAGTTTAAACACCGGATCCGCTTCCGCGCGGGCCAAATCTGATTTGCCATCAGACATGTAAGAAATTGCCTCCATCAGCAATTCTATCATCCGGGCATCGTCGTCGTACCCCATCAAATCCTCTTCATCTTCATCATACCGTTCAGGAGAAATTTCCTTCCCTCCACTTCTTGTACCGGTACTCCTCCGCGGACCATCCCTTGGGGGCGTCCTTGGAGACCTTGGCCTCTGTTCAGCCAGCGGATCACCATGTTCAAAGACACACCTGTCCCCATGACGGCATTTCCCAGACCGAGCAAACTGGATACACCTTACACCAGTTGCGTCGTGAGAGAACTTGCAGTCCTCTCCAGCGTAGCAGTGTCTTCCAGCCACATAGTATTTGCACCAATACGATTGCAGCACCACATCATCATTGGAATGAATAAACTTGCAGTCCTCTCCAAATTTGCAGCGATTGTTCCCTTTTGCGAACCAATAACAGATACCTTGCCTCCTTTTCGACAAGCGTTCCGCTTCCAGACGATCCATGGAACAATTCCGCACTACATGGACATTGCCATGATCTGTAGGACTACCTTTTTCACCCAAGGTGCTATCAATGTTTGATGCATCAAGAACAGCTGGAAAACCTGGTCTTGGTCCTATCACCTTCATGATTGGTTTCCCACCAGCTCCTGAGCCATTCTGAGATGATCCAAAAACATTGAACACTTTCAAGAAGGCCTTTCTAGTGCCGATCTTCCGCACCTTTTTTGATTGGACGTTTCATTGCTCCAACCTTGGATCCAGGTAGATTTGAACGACACAACCTCCTACACCCAGCTCTATATCCCTTTTTCCAAAGAGCCATAAGAATTCTAGAGGCAGTAACATTCTCCACCTCTACCCTTTCGGACTGTCCCTCACTTTCCGGAACAAACCCATTCAACCCATCCATATCTGAAGACCTTTCCATCTTTTTTGACATCACTTCATCGAGATAATCTTCAGAGATCCAGGGTAAATTCCTCTTAGAGGAAAAATCGTCACCATTGTCCGGTCCTTCACCAGGATACCCCTTCGTGCTGTCAAAGATCCTACTCGTAGTGCGGTCCTGCATAGAGAAATCCCAGTTGGAAGCGACACGAGAATACACCGACCACAAGAACATTCTGGTGCCAGCCAATCTTGATGAACCACTGGATGTCTCATCTTCTGGAGAAACTTCTGGCGCTTTGCCATCACTTCCAGTGTCACCAATTGTCTCACTTCCAGCATCTTCGATGGGAATAGAGGATTCATTGATCCCTTGCTCAAATACCGCATCTTGCTGTTCGGGGATCTCCAGCACCATCCCTGAAGGATCCACTTCCTCATCAGCATCGTCGTCCATGCTTTTCCAGAGAACCTCCAATTGATCAGCACACGTCGCCGCCTGAAGGAACTCCATCATTTGGTCCCTCCCGCGCTGCCAGAGAAATTCTGAATTCACCACTAACCCTTGGCCTCCTAGGGTAAGGAACGGAGCAACCAGGTTGGCTACCCTCGCCATAAGTTCCACATGAACTTCCATGCCTGGACTGCGACTCCAATCGTAGGCTATTGCCTCCATAGCAGTTCCAAACTTTTCAGTATTTCTGAATTCCCTTTCCAGGCCAGGAGATAGCAATGCACCCATCACCGAAAGAGGATAATTTCCCACCACCGGCAAGCACGGATCTTCATGGAACGAATGCGTAATGTCCTTGATCTCTCCTTTCAAAAAGGAGTCTCCCAGTGTTCAACTGGGCATTCAGTTCATCCACTTGAACCATTTCAGCACATATCCTCTGCGCTGCAGCCGCTATTGCCGGCCAGATAGCACGATCGGCCAAACCGCGACGCGTAACCCAAACAGTTGTTGCCGACTGAATCAGTGTACTTGGGTCATATGCCATGACCACCAATGTACCATCATCCATTCTCTGATCAGCATCGTCTTCCAGTGCCAGGTTCAAATCCTGTTCGCTTGCACCTTCAGATGACATGCTAATAACCAAATTTCGATCCATTTTATTGGACCCCTTCTGATAGTCCTTTTGCCCCACAGGCAACTTGCCGACAGCAACCTTCCAAT